CAGTAAATCAAATTAGATGACTTCAAAGCATCTCCTAGCCTTTCAAAGCATTTTTTCCAGATTTGTTATCTTTTTGCGGCTTCTGAGATAGTCAGAGACCAACTTCTGTTCCTTACAGGTAAAAAAGAGTCCTTGAGGATTTTACTCTGCTAATTATTTCTGACTACATGGGGTAGTTCTCATCTCCTTTTCAAGGCCATTGAGCCAGTGCTGTCTGAAGACATTTCCGCACTCATGTAGCCAGCACCTTCCCATTGAAGCAGTACCTATTTATCTACTTGCATTTGCATGTTTTTGAACTGTTAGTTTGGCAGGTGCTGCGGTGAGGTTGGGGGCTCACCCTATCATGTGGAGCTCAGGTCTCAAACCTGGGCTGCCATCTTTCCAATTCCATATATGGAGAATGATAAAAGGAGTTGGAACACACAGTGACTTATTTGATGATGCCATGGGCACATGACCAATAATATTTATCACCTTATTAAATGCTTTGCCTGTCAGAAGTCTCCCAATGTGGTTAACATTCTGTTGGACATCATTTATCTTTCTGTTTCTTTTAACACAGCTCACCACAAATTATAACGTTGCTCTCTCTTGTGCTAATGAAACATTGTACACTCATGCTTGCATTGCTGAAATTCCTGATTAAATTTAATTTAATTCAGCTCTTTCCATTCTAAATATCGGCTTGAAGTTGAGAGCCATTTGGGGTCAAATTTACTCTAGGTCCAAAAACGATACAGAATTCCTGGCACTCTGACAAATCAACCATCAGTAAACACATAGGTGTAAACAACATCTATATACCATGCAAATGAGACAATCAACAAGCCAAAAAAGGAACAAAAAGATAAAAACATCTCCCCATCAGAAATCAATACCCAGATGCAGATTAACACTCAGATTAACATCAGACCAAAAATTAAGAAACAAATATCCCAATCAAGGAACTACCAAACAAGAACAGTATACAGACTAGACAAAGAACCACCAAAGCTCACTTCCCAGTGTTACCTATTTTGGTAATGAAACATCTTGAAGAAAACCACCAAGCTCAGAGAGCACCAACTCGGTGCTACAAACATTCTCCTCTATCAATAATAGACATTTTAGCCCTTCTGCTCTGCTGAGATCATCTGCTTCTTCTAATCTCACTAAGGTTGAAAATCAGCAAGCCAGAAACCCGTTACAATTGAATCTCCCTGCTGATGAGGGCTTCTTTTCCAGGATGCGATGTCAATCTGGCCAATTGGCTATGCCAGCCCCCTTATCGCCATAGGTAATCTAATGATCAGAGGCAGCACAATAGTGGCAGTCATTAGTCATTCTCCAACATGCCACACCTGTCCTTTTAGTAATGCATGTGGAAAATAAGACCTTGCCTTTTAATTGTATTTTGAAATTGTCATTTGTATCAATTTAGCGTAAGTTAGACCAATTGGAAAATTGTTGTTATTTTTTGTTCAGCCGAAGAAAGTTGCAGGGAAAATATTTCAACCAAAACCCTTGAAGATATCCACCTGAAGCTAGATGATGTCTTCTAAAGGATTTTCCACCTATCTTTTTGTTTTTCCATTCCTTGAAATATGAAGCAGCTAGCAAATGATGGTTCCCCATTAGAACCTAAGGAAGAATCTTTTTCTCATCAGATCTCAAAGCACTTTGAATGAAACTAGTTTGTCCTCCGATTCCAAACACCGCATTGTATCCTCTTTCAATCTCAGTCTACCGATGGACTCCAGTCAAGGCGGATAACATACAAACCTGCTCAGTTGCCACTTCCACCCTGAAGAATATGTCTGACTTGGTCTTATGTGCTTTTGCATTTCTGCCACATTTCAGCTTGGAGTGCTGAAAGGCAAAAAAGAAAAAAGCCTGTTTCTTAACATGCTGTTTAAGCTCTTCTCATCTTCTTCAGACAAATAATATTTGCAAGGAAGGGACAGAGCTAACTTCTGCATGGAGGCAGCAGGCAACATGAAGGAAACGTGAATGGGTCTTCTTGATGGGTCTTTGTCACGGTCCATTTTGTAGGGAGCCTTTCCCCTACCCATGATTCACCCCTCACACCACCATTTAAGCTTGCTGCAGACAAGGGAGGCATCAATAAATAAAACCATTCTTTGAGGAGCAGAACATGGGAATACACTGTAGAGCAAGGGTCTTCAAACTTGACAGCTTTAAGACTTGTGGACTTCAACTCCCAGAATTCTTGAGCTAACATGACTGGAGGAGGAATTCTGGGAATTGAAGTCCACAAGTCTTAAAGCTGTCAAGTTTGAAGACCCCCTGCTGTAGAGTTTCTTCATTTGCATGTTTTCACCCTTCTGCCAGCAGTCCTACTCAATGGCCTCCAGAAAGCCTTCTCCTTGGAGTGACATTCCATATACAAGGACCTGCCATCATAAGGAAACGCTTCTCTGAGATTTGCAAAAACGGCTGCTAATGTTGGATGCAGAGTTTTGTTTTTTTCCTCCCTGTCCCTGGGATTGCAAGTGAGGAAAACAGTCGAGTCGAGAGCTTTTGTGATCTTCTCCATACAAACTGGAATAGCTGTTACTTAAAGAGGTGGGCATTTGAAGCTCCAGATAGTTGCTGGAGAAATTGGAAGCAGTAAAAAATGAGATTCAGTGATGACCTTTATCAGCTTTGATGACAGCTATAAATCAGACTGAAATTCTCATCAGCCTGCTGGACAGAATTCATTTGCAGACAAAGGCTGCTGCGTTGCTTTCTGTCTTTGATTGAGGGACGCCCAGTGAAAATGAATACAGCTTCAATAATATGAATCACACATTTCAAAACACAAACGGAGAGCTATTATTCATTGGTTCTGAAGACTGAGATGATTACAGGACTTGGAGACTAGCAAAGGCTTATTGTGCTTTCCTTTGGGTCATGAAGCCAATCAATTTTGGCTTCTTTAAAGCAAGCCAATTTGCTCTTCATTAAATTTTAACCCTTTGCTGATCATGAGAATTGACTGTACCAGCAGAACCAACCAACCAATGCTAGTTTATTTTTATTTTTTGCTTTTCACCTTATAAAGACAGGATATTATTAACTTCTCAAAGGCAATGAAATCTTTAGAAAAAGGACTTTATTTCTCAGAATGTAACAAGGAGGCATGGAGTTTTCAACTCCAAAAGACTGTCCTTGGATGTAAACAAACTTTACATCCTTATGTAACATAAGGGTTTATACCTAAAAACAGTTTTTCTACCTTGGGCATTGTCCAGATATTTGTGAACTTCAACTCCCAGAAGTCCTGGACCACTCACAGCCTTTGCTATGAATTCTGGGAGTTGAAGTTCAAACGTGGAGAATGCCAAGATTAAGCAAAGATATTTTAAAAAGTGAGCCGTGCTGAAGTCACAGGTAAGGCCAGGAATATTGTTGCACCATCTGTACAAAATAATTACACAATATATGAACAGATTTGGGGGAGTTTTGGTATCACAGCCAGGACTATAACCTTCATGTGTGGACTATAAGGTTGTTCTGCTGGTCATCAGGTTGTTTGCTTTCCTAACAATTTTTATAGGTTTGCTGTACAATATGGAATGGCTAGGTTTTCTACTTTCTTAGAGACTAAAAGTTACATTAACTTGTGGACATCAACTTTCATTTCATTTCACATTTTATTTTCATTTCCGTTAAAATTGGTATCAGTTTAAGAGTACCTAGCCAACTTTGGCTTATCTCAAAATAGCTTAAGTAGGGTTTTGCCTACTTAATGCCGAGATAGAAAAATACCAAGAAATCTCAGGGTTGTATACTTGACTAAGAAGTTGAAATAAATCTTGGAAAAAAGCAGTTGCAGTCAGTTTGGTAGTATTTCAAAAAAAAAAAAATGACAGATTTGTGAATGTCTATTTACCAAGAGTTAGATTTATCTCAAATGGCATTTATCTTAATGCCGTTTACAGGTAGTCCTTGAGTTATGACATTGCTTAGCAACCAGTTAAGGTACAATGGACACAAAAATGGTATTCATGTCCTGGATTTGAATTTTCAACACTGGTCATGGGACCATACATTTGGGACCCTTGGCAACTGGCCTGCCTTTATGGCTGTTTGCAATGCTCCCCAGTCTCGTGATTACAATTTGTGACATTTTTAGCCAGAGGCCAGTGTTTACTTCCAGCTTCTGGCAAAAGAAATCCATCAGAAACAATCAATTGCCTTAACAATTTGGGAAGTATGTGTTGATGGAAGTGGGTGATAATAGATATGTTTTTAAAACTGAGTTAGTATATATCTGATTTAAAATATCTAATCTGTGACTCTGATGCTAGCTAAATCATGAGAATCAAAGATGCTTCTCTATTTTAGACATTATCCAGTGCCCTCTAAGCATAGGGTAAAGGTGAAAGTTCCCTTCACACATACGTGCTAAATGTTTCCAGGTCTAGGGGGCGGTGTTCATCTCCATTTCAAAGCTGAAGAGCCAGCACTGTCCAAAGATGTCTCTGTGGTCTTGTGGCTGGCATGACTAAATGCTGAAGGCGTATGGAACGCTGTTACCTTCCCACCAAAGGGGTCCCTATTTTTCCACTTGCATTTTTTACATACTTTTGAACTGCTAGGTTGGCAGAAGCTGGGACAAGTAACGGGAGCTCACTCCATTACGTGGTGCTAGGGATTCAAACCGCTGAACTGCCGACCTTTCTGGATTGGCAAGCCCACCACGTCCCTTTAAGCATAGGTTAGCTCTCTCCTTAACATGAAACAGGAATTAGTCCTCTCAGAAGCAAATGAAGCTAGCATCCTAGTTCAGAAAAATTGTGTGATTCCTTTTCCTAGTATCCAATTTCCCCCCCCCCTTCTGTTTTTTGATCCTCTTTGTTGGAAATGGCAAGTAATAAATGTAGACCTGGAGTTTTGTTAAAGTAAGCTAGATGTTTTGCCACTAACCTATGGTCCTCTCTTAATTATCCTCTGGCCCATATGTGGTAGATGTAAATCACCCTCTTCTTCTGTTCTCTCTCCTCTTTTAGATACAGAATTCATTTATAGAGACCGGAATGGCTCAGTGATAGTGCACAATGTGGAAACAAACCATTCAACAGTTTTAATAGAAAACAAAATCATTGTGAGTATTTTCTTGAATAGGTTACACAGTTGCACACCTGTCTGTCTTTTGGGTTAAGAAAGAACATGCCTTTAGTTAATTGAACAGAAGCTGAATATCCTAACTGAAACAACACTGCAAAATACAAAAACAAAAATATATTATATATGCTTTATATATGTATGTGTTTGTGTGTACACCGAGAGCTTAGGACTGAAGACAAATTCCTTGTGTGTTTAATCACATTTAGTCATTAAAAAATATTCTCTTCTCTTTTCTTCTCTTCTTCTTTTCTCTTCTCTTCCTTATTCTGTTCTATTCTATTTTCTATTTTATTTTATTTTCTATATTCTGTTCTATTCTACCGTATTCTCTATTCTATTCTCCATTCTGTTCTTTATTCTATTCTATATTCTACTCTACACTACAGAATTGAAGTTGAAATTGATGAGTATTCTTAGCCAAACAGTTCCAATAAATAATATAATTCCTTCTCATTGTAAAATGAAGAGCTGGCAATCCAAAAGAATAGGCTAAGAAAAATCTTATTTATTTTTTAAAAGAAATAAATGCATCTCTTCCCACCTGTTTGTCTTCAAGTCGTGAGTTTCTTTTGAAAGCAGGCTCCAGATGATGTGTGTTTCTCACAGTTGCTGAGCTCAGCCTAAACCCTCTAAAAATAAGACTTAAAAGATATAATTCAGCTTTAACCCCACCGAAAGATCACTGGAGATATTGTGATAAGAGGAGATTATGATAAATTCTACAAGAAATTCACTGGTACAGTGGTTAGAGTGCAGTATTGCAGGCTGTCTCTGCCCACTGCCAGGAGTTTGATCGTAACAGGCCTCAAGGTTCACTCAGCCTTCCATCCTTCAGAGGTTAGTATGAGGACCCAGGTTGTTGGGAGCAATATGCAAATAATATTGCAGGATTCAATCTGGATCAGTCACTGCGACCGGAGTTTAGTCTTCTGAGCTTCCAGATTCATGCTGTAGCTCATCCTCAGGGAACTTATCTTTACTGGACTTTGTGCAAATAGTACTGTTATTGTAACCCACCCAGAGAGTTCTGTAAAGCTATTGCTTCATTATTTCCAATTCAATTAGAAATTTAAAATGTCCCCAATTTTTTTTGCAATATTTCTATTAAGATAGCGGGAGAGATTACATAAACCAATATTTTTTAATCTTGGGAATGTTAAGAGGTGTGGCCTTCAGCTCCCAGAATTCTCCAGCTCCCATTTGCTGGTTCGAATTGTAGGAGCTGAAAGTCCACCCCTGTTATAGTTGCCACGGTTAAGAAACTCTAACGTTGGCCAATATGGCTCATCTTTGCTCAATTCCAGAATCCAAAAATAAATACTCCTTGAACATGGCTGTTTAACCCCACTTGAACACATCCAGGTAGAGGTGGACCATAACCTTGCTAGATAATTGGTTCCATTATTAAACTTTTCCTTTTGTTAGGAATTATTTCCTCTCATTGAACTGGAATCCTGGAATTTAAGTCTCCTATTCTGTATCTTACATTCTGGGACAATAAAGAAGCCATTGTGTAAGAAGCCATTGTATAAAACCTTCCCTGGTCAAGCATTCTTAGAGGTTTCTTACTGATTAAAAACACAAATTATATACCCTTTTATTTAATTTTCTCTGCTACCTAGGTTTTACCTCACACATTGTGGGTTCTGTGCATCATCCATTATATTAAATGCAAAAATGTGAGCCTGGCCTTTAAATTTTGGGTTTGACTGACTGTTACAACCCCAGGACTCTACAAATATTAGCAAATATTAACTCTCACAAGACGGATCAAAATATAAAGCAGATATTACAAGTTTTAGGAAACATACTAACATGTTAGGCACATTGTAAAGATTATGCATGAATATTAAAATTTGAGAAATAAAAGTAAAATAAATAAAGTAGATATTTACAGTTTTTAGGAAACATACCAATATATTAAGCATGTGGTAAGAGTTATGCAAGTATATCTCTTTTTTATATTGCATTTTATAGTGTTTTATTTTTACTATATATTTTTGTGCTGTTTTATTATTTTTAATGTTATAAGCCACTCAGAGTCACCTCATACTGAGATGAATGGCAATTAAATTAAATTAATATTTGAATGTATTTATTTGAGATGTTGGGTTTTGTTTTATTTTTCAGGTGTCTATAAAAGCTATTAAATATGAAGTTTCGCCAGATAGAGAATATGGACTCTTTGCCTATGACATTGTACCGGTAAGTAAGCAGACTGTATTTATTTTGCTTTCAGTTTAATGGTGTTTTTTAGTCGTGACAGGTATAACTTTACCCAGAGAAAGATTCTTATTGAAATGATTGGTCTTGAAGTCAGTGCTTCGTTATACATAATTTTAGGTAATAACCTCAAAGAATGAAAATAAGAGCATAAAGAAAGAGAAAAATAGCAACATCATGACAAGAAAGAGATGGATTATAAATTTAAAGAAGGTAAAATGGGACATCCCTAGGAATAAAAATAAATTATTTCAAAAGGATGATATATGTAAGAGTTGTCCTACAATTGTTAATTTTGTTGAAGCATTTACATATATACCAGTTAAAGGATAATTTAGAAAAAATATATAGGTATATAATTATTGGCCAGGCACTTGGTCACTTTGGTGGATTCCTCTAGATCTGTAGTTAGGAATGAGTACCAAAATGGCACTGTCTGCTGAGAAAATTGCCTAATTATGCCTATGGAATTATTAAGAGTTGAGTTGAACTTGAAGATTTTTGTTACTCTTCAACAGAATAAATGTCACCATTGATTTTAGCACCAGGTTTAGTAGATGTGAAGAGAAATCCCTATTTATTCAAGGGAGATGTGCTGCATCTAGCAAAATATCAAAGGTAACATGGATGGATTGAGAAGTTGTTAATCCTTTGCTTATGAAAACTGTAAAACATCTGTTCTCAACCTGTTGCTTCCACTTGGGAACTTCAGTTTATAGCGCCGACACAGCCATTGATGGCTGGAGAATTGAATGGGAAGTGAAGTCCCATAACTCAGAAGTTGAGATTCTTTAGATAGACAAAAACTGCTGTAACAGTATGACTTTGCTGCAAGATCTTTTAATCTTCTTTGTTTAAATGTCTATGGAGATTCTTAGTCATCCAGGTATGGATGTCTCAAAGGTGCTTTTTCAGGAAAAAGTACCTTGCAGACTTCTTTGTTAACTTTCTTATTAAACTTTCTTAATCATTATAAATTTTAACAGAAGGTAAATGTCAGTACCTTTCACTGCTGAAATAGCTCATTAATTATAATACCTCTCTTCCCATGTCAGGCTTAAGGTCGATATATCAGTATGCATGAATATTCAATTGCTTAAATGTCCAAGGAATTTAAACCCAATCATTGGACCAACAATCTTCTTGGGACCATTACCTTCAAAATCTAAATAATTTATATTCCAAACAGGAAATAAAGAAGGGGGATGAACCTAGATTATGAGATTGTTGAAAACACTTAGTTATATCTTTGAACGTGAAGATATGTAGAATTCTGATATATTTTCCATTACATGAATAGTGGGTTGCTCCTCTCTGTTAGCAGCTGAACTGAATAAATTATGCAAAATAATGAGGTTTATGGCTGAAGAAGCTCTGAAGAAGAAAAGTTGACATCAATGATGCAGAATTTTCATCTCCTTTTTCATAAATAGCAAAAAAATATGCAACCTATTGTATTGCAAAATTTAGAACAGTAATTTCAGGATACACAGGAGTGGCTTCAATATTCAGATAATCAGACTCTAAGTAGAACTCAATGGGATCAATGGGATAGAAATCAATGGGATCTAAAGTGATCATGAATCTAATCCAATGAGAATTATTTCAAACAAGAGTAAGTCAGTTCTGTTCATCTTCCACCAGATGCCATCATGGTTGAATCATAAATAGATATCAGCTCTGGACTGATGACACAGTTGATTGAAAGAATTATCAACTATTAAAGAATTACTGGTTTGAGTGGAATTCCTATTCAGCCTGAGGCAGACAGCAAGGTGATAAGCCGCCTGGGAAAGCCAAGGATAATCATCACAACCATCAAAAAGCAAAAGTTAGAATATTTTGGACATGCGATGCAACATCTGGAAAACAGCATACTTCATTTAATCCTCCAGGGAAAAATTTAAGGCAAAAGAGATCCAGGCAAAAGAAGAAGCTCATGGCTTCAAAATCTAAGGGACTGGTTTAGACAAAAGTCAGCAGCACTTTTCCATGTAGGATCACCAACATGATCGCCATGATCTGATGACAGATATAGCACAAGAAGAAGAAGAATACAGTCAGGACACATGACCTTTTATGGCTATTTCTTTGGGGCACAAAACTGCAAGTCTTTCAGAAACGTTATCTTTCAGAAATGTTGGAATTTATAAATTAAACTCCAACTAAACTCCAAACTTACTGGAAAGGTCAGAATGAAACAAAAGTCATACAGTGAAACGTCCATCTGAAAGTCTTTTCTTCTGGCGGTCTCTAAGATCCACTGTCAAAAAATGATGTTAATTTTTTTAAAAAAGGAACAGAGTAATGCTCTGGCAAGGAAGGAGACATGTTACATCACATCCAATAGACTAGGGCCGTGATGGTGAACCTGTGGCAAGCAGAGCCATTTGTGCCAGCACGCAAGCCACAGGCAAACTTACTTCACTGCGCATGTGCGTGCCTCACAACTGATTTTCAGCGGGTTTGAGGCCTTTTTCGGCCTCCCAGAGGCTTGAGGAAAGCCTCTGCAGGCTTTGCAGGACGAATAATAGGCCTGTTTCATCACTTCCTATATTTCTGAAAGTGACAAAACAGGCCTGCAAAGCCTGCTGAGGCTTTCCTCAAGCCTCTGGGAGGGCGAAAAAGGCCTCAAACCTGCTGAAAATCAGCTATGAGGCACAGTGCAGATAAGGGGGGATTGTGGGTGCATGCATAAGGGGCATGGGGGGCACACACACATTGCCTTTTGGGTGCTGGCGCGCACATAATTTTTGGCACAGGGGCCCAAAAAATTTGCTATCACTGGACTAGGGAGATGCCCATAATCCTGAAACGAAGTAAAAGCAAGCAGAGACAATTCAGGATTGTTAAATTTTTACATTTCTGAGTTGGGAAGGATTTGGACTCATCATGGATTCAATGCAGCAGTCTATAAATACTCTTTGGCTATTTGCAATTCTGTTTTATTTTTTTATTTATTAAACAAATTTATATAGCCATCTAACTCAAACATAGATGACTCCAGGCAGCTTACAATTTTTTTAAAAACCACCATTATTTAATAAAATCTATTAAACAAACTCCAACCAACTCCCATATGCTTTCATATTCATAAGGTTCGTTTAACTTGGAAGGATTTGTTCAAAAATTCACGAATGAAATAATGAATGAACAATGGCAGATACATAGATAGTTCACATGGAATAGCCAGTCATTAGGACCAGCCAATTTCCACCAAGGATTAATTGGAAAGCAAGAGTCTTTATGGTGAGTTTGTAGCCATATCCACACTCACTATGTTTATAGAGTTGCGTATGTATCGATAAAAAATAGCATTGTTCATCTACAGATTGCACACAGACAGTGCACATTTAATTCTTGGTTGGTTTTATTCCTGATTTATATCTTATATGATAGTTTACCTTTTCCAAGCATTTTTAGATACGTTAACCTTTTAATGATCTTTTAAAAAAATATTGGCAGATTTTTAGCCTATTAATTGAATGGGCAGGGAAACCCTCCTTTTTGGCTAAAAAATGTTCCTTTTCATTAGGTCAGATTTTATAACCTTTTTTGTTTTCTAGAGAATACAAATACTAATAAATAATACAAGTGGCAAGCATTTTTCATTAATAGGCCTCTCTTCTCTGACATGTGAGATGCAGTGTTCAGAATTCTTTGCAAGGAGAACTGGCATAGAAATGCTTGTTAAATTTAATAAATGTCTCTAATAAGATGTTGCCAAGCAAGGCTATTATTTTTTCCCGAGCAAATATAATCAATTAAAATTCACACTTTGCATCACACAGACGGTAGCTGGGGAATTGTGGGAGTTGAAATCCATGCATCCTAAAGTTGCCAAAGTTGACAAGCACTGCATTGGACAGATATTTAACTATCTTGGTAAAGAGCTTCCAAAGCCATATTCTATGCTCAAACTTCCAAACTTTTAAGTAAGTATTAAGATTAAATAATAAATTTTAAACTATTGCAGTAAAGAGCTATGTATTCTCCATATCCAGCCCTACTAATGTCCCTGTACTTTTCTTACACTCATTTGTTAGCTAACTAACTAGCTGTAATCAACAGAACTATTCAGTCCTAGAATTAGTGAATTCAGGCTATCAAGTCCAGCTTTTTATTTTGTACAAGGAAATCAAACTGAAGCATCCAGAAAGTGATAGCATTCATATAAAAAAATCCTTCCGTTTATCTAATTAATTCCATTGTCAAAGTGCTTTTATTGTAAGTAACATTTAAACCAACCTGTCTTCTTGTAACATAAATATTTCATGTCTTGCCATCTGGACGAACAGAAAACCCGCTGGCATTCTTCTGTGCCTCCCTCTCAGATATTAAAAAAAGTGATTTCCCATTTTCCCATTTCAACATTCCCAGATCTTTCAATATTTCTTTGTCTGGTTTAAATTCTAGTCCCCAATCATTCTTGTTGCTCTGCTCAGCATCTGTTCCAATTTCTTCTATTCAGCTTGTCATTTATTACCATTCACTTCTTCACAAGCATATTCATCAAACAAGATATTCCTTACTTTAAACAAAATGATTTTGATTCTTGGTTCCCAAAAGTTGTTTGCATTTGTTTTGCTTATTTTTAAAATCTATTATTTTCAATTATGTTTCTCTCTTGTAGAATGTTAGCTATCCAGTCCCTATTCCAATTTGAAGTACGCAGATTTGGCAAGTGTTTCCTCTACTTCCTTTAAGCCATTGATAAAAATGCTGAAGTTTGCAGATCCCAGATATTAACTTTGTGGCACCTTACTCTATAATTCATTTCAGTTTGATAAGCTCCTGTTATTACATACATTTTGAGTACAATGTTCAAATTTTAATTGGTTTCTCTTCTGTCCTATGCTTAGCTAGCTTATTAAGTGGATCAGTGGAAATTGTCCATTTTTGTTGGCTGAAATCAATAGCCTGTCGATAGCGTTCCCAAAATTCACTAAGGAAGATAGCAATTTTTTAAAAAATACAAATTA